TTACAAGAATTAATTGACGTGTTAAACCGCGGAGGAGGATATAATGAGCAATATTTTGCTAGAAAGTTGCTTCAATTAACATTCCATAATGTTGGTTTCATCCTCTTCGAGATAAATGATGGAGAACACAGAAGAAAAGAATTTATCTTAGAATGACAAAATATTTAATTTTAGACAACGCGCTGACTGGTTAAATTCTTAAATATCAACATGTTTTCTTTCTTTTTAAGAAATAATCTTTGAAAGGATATAACGTTCATGGGTTGCGATCAAGAGTTAAAGTGATTAGCTTTCAGCCTATATCCCCTTTCAATTTTCCTATACAGTTCCTTTAAAGAGACTGTAGGCTTAATTTTAAGTGAAATTCTTCATTCAAAGATGGCAATGTCCGATTCACAACCTTTAAAAGCTTTGCCCGATCAAGTATGAATTAGATATCAATGTTTAAAATTTTGAAATTTGATTATTTTCAATTGTGGAACCACTACAAGGAGACTTGCGCATTTCTACTGCAGTGTTGAGATACTGATAATGAATATGTGTAGTAAAGTGTTGAGATACTGATTAAATGTATAAATGTAGTAAAGTGTTGAGATACTGATTAATGGATAAATGTAGTAAAGTGTTGAGATACTGATTAAATGTATAAATGTAGTAAAGTGTTGAGATACTGATTAATGGATAAATGTAGTAAAATGTTGAGATACTGATTAATGAATATATGTAGTAAAGTGTTGAGATACTGATTAATGTATAAATGTAGAAGAAGGACAAGAAGTAAAAGTCTGAAAAGTTGTGAAAGTTGTGGAAAAGTTGACTTACTTCAACTTTTCCAAGTGTTGGGTCATTCTTATCTCATTTATTGTATTACTATTTTATTGGTTTAAATACTAAACTGTACTATACAGCTAGAACTATACGTAGATATGTTAACACAAATTCGAAATATAAGGAAGACGATTTTACCGACTCAGATGCCGTTGACTATTTTCAAGACGTATGAATCTATTTCTGCCAGTCCGCCCACATGTCACCCTCGCTCCTTCGTCCCCCCCCCCACCCCTCTACACATCCCAGCCCCTCAGTCAGGTTAGGAGAGTTGGACTAGTAACAACTCCGACACAGGGAGCCTCTTGACTCCTTCATGATGATGACACAGATACTCAGCTAACAGCAGGCGTGCTTATACCTGATCTCTGCCTACTAATTTTGATAAGCCCTGTTGTTCCAGTTCCTGTTGATCTGCTCCACCAACATGAAGCTCTACAACACTCCCATGAAGTGTACACAAATATTCATCATTAATTCCTTTGTTAATTTCTAAACCAACCAATTTTAACCCTGTCTTATGCAAATATTTCAAAACTTTCATTTTTTAAATACATGTTAGAAATATACATTTCAGATATCTTTGTTTTATTATAGTGACTGATATTAGAATATATATATATATAACTAGATAGCTTACCAGATTATATTGGTTTAAATACTAAACTGTACTTTACAACTAGAAATATACATGGATATTAGAATATATATAACTAGATAGCTCACCAGATTATATTGGTTTAAATACTAAACTGTACTTTACAACTAGAACTATACATAGATATTAGAATATATATATAACTAGATAGCTCACCAGATTATATTGGTTTAAATACTAAATTGTACTTTACAACTAGAACTATACATAGATATCAGAATATACTAGATAGCTCACCAGATTATATTGGTTTAAATACTAAACTGTACTTTACAACTAGAACTGTTCGTAGATATTAGAAAATACTAGATAGTATTCCATATTATATTGGTTTAAATACTAAACTGTACTTTACAACTAGAAATGTACGTAGATATTAGAATATACTAGATAGTATTCCATATTATATTGGTTTAAATACTAAACTGTACTTTACAACTAGAACTATACATAGATATTAGAATATACTAGATAGTATTCCATATTATATTGGTTTAAATACTTAACTGTACTTTACAACTAGAACTATACGTAGATATTTGAATATATTTGATAGATCACTAGGTTTTATTGGTTTAAATAAGAAAATATAATTTACAACTCTAGATCTATACAATACACCAGACCCTACACGCCAGGTTATATTGGTAATTCAATTACTATTCTGTTACAAGTAAACAAAGAGTAACTGTTAATTGATAACTTCAATTTGTATCAATGTTTCTATGCATCTACTATTCATGCTGTTTGAAAGCTAGGTAGAAATCTTAAATACTAATCGAAAGCCGTGTTTATTGTATTGATATATACAACGACAATTGTTCAGAAATTGACTCATTATTTAACCTTATAAAAGTTTAAGATTCTATTAGCTTTATCAAGCAATATCTATCTTATGATCAAAACATTACAATTTGTAGTGCAGTGCATTTTTATTTTTTCAAGTTTTTACCTCTTTAATTTATTTCAATAATTTTACTCATAACTCTGTTTTATACCTTATTAACCCGTTCATAATTTCCATTAAACTTTTCATGTGTCTTTGTACACTAATAACATTATAAAAACTTAAAAGTTTGTTTTTCAAGCCGACCACTTTGTATCAAAAATTGATGCCATGAAGATCATTTTCATTTATTAAACTTTCCAATAAAAGGTTTAGAAATATAAAAGGATTGAAATGTATACTGCACAAGTTTTATCTCATAGAATATACAGATAGGAAAAGAGTTGACATTTTTTGTTTAAAGTTAACAAACTCTGATGCATTAGAATTTCAAAGTAAACCTGTTTTATGTCACGCAGTGAAAGGTTTAACAATTATAAATATAAGGGTAATTATTTCTTAGAATTACCTCCCCCCAGGGGAAGGGAAAAATCATCTTCGACTGAGGGAAAAACTGAAAAATCAGAGAAACAAGCAATTTATTTTCTCCTTTTTTCGATATTTTTTTAATTAAAGTTAAATTTCTCTTCAAAAAACCTAAAAAAAGTACCAAGCAGAGAATTTTTAAAGAGTTGAATTTTCAACAAAATATACACCCCTGTAGGAAAAGGGTTTTTTAATTGCTAACTTCTAGACATTTTCTTGTCTTATCTGAGTAAAATGTATTTCAAATATTTAAATGGGTCTCCTCTCCTTCTCTCTAAAAGATTGAAATTTTCTTTCAGAGCTATTTATTCTTTTCAATAAAACAATGTAACTCTTATTCCTATAATTCAACTCCAGACTCTTTTATATTTCACTTTCTTGACTGAATGTAATCTTTAAACTTTATTTTTCCAATTTTTTTAAAAATCTTCCCCATTTTATATTTTTTAGATTTTATACCTATAACTTCTTTTCTTTCTTTAAAAGTACTGAAGACATAATTTCAAGTTACCTTTTCATTTAAAATGTCCGATTTACAATGATACCTTAAATATTTATTTGTTTTTAATCGTGGTTAAGACTTGCTTGTTTCTGCTGCAGCAAATATGGTGGAAATTATAAGAATTAAACGCTTTTAAAACTATAAAACTTATAAAATATCTTCCATATAATTGATCAGATAAAGGTGTATAGGTATATACCAAATCAGGAGGGTTAAATTTCCTTCCCTTCAAGGAAACCTCTAAAAAACGAGAAAATGGACTCTAGTAACAAGCATACAAAAACAAACTAAGGAGGATAAAAAATCTACGATTATGGAAAAAAGAGGAAAAATAAGAAGCAAGGAAAAAGGAGAAGAAAATGAGAATATTACAGATAAAGGTGAAACCAACTTATTTATTGTGTGTTTACAACCCCCAAGGGATAAACTTATAAATTTAATCCACTCCCCCCCCACCCACCTAAATGTAGTAAAGTGTTGAGATACTGATTAATGGATAAATGTAGTAAAATGTTGAGATACTGATTAATGAATATATGTAGTAAAGTGTTGAGATACTGATTAATGTATAAATGTAGAAGAAGGACAAGAAGTAAAAGTCTGAAAAGTTGTGAAAGTTGTGGAAAAGTTGACTTACTTCAACTTTTCCAAGTGTTGGGTCATTCTTATCTCATTTATTGTATTACTATTTTATTGGTTTAAATACTAAACTGTACTATACAGCTAGAACTATACGTAGATATGTTAACACAAATTCGAAATATAAGAAAGACGATTTTACCGACTCAGATGCCGTTGTGCTAAAAATGCTTTAACTTAGCTAAAAATGCTTTAATTTAGATGAAAATGCTTTAATTTAGCTAAAAATGCTTTAACTTAGCTAAAAATGCTTTAATTTAGCCGAAAATGCTTTAATTTCGCTGAAAATGCTTTAATTTCGCTGAAAATGCTTTAAATTTGCTGAAAATGCTTTATACTCGCTGTATACAAATATACAGTAAGTAAAGCAGATGTTAGGTACTTCCCCAAAGACTTTTCCCCAAGCGACAACTTCCCAACAGTATTTTCCCAAGTTGCAACTTCCCAAGTCTATACTAGCCGCAGCGCTCAGCACCCAAAAACCGGCCTAACCTAACCTTTGGGAAGTAGTCGCTTAAAAAAATTGAACATTTGAGAACTTGTCCCTTGGTACTTGGTACTTGTTACTTGGTAAGTTGTCCTAGCTTGGGAAATTACCTTTGGGAAGTATTCGATATCCAGTTCTTAAAGTATACCTGTAACCTACTATGGTATATTTTACTCTATGATATCCAGCATGTGAAGGATATTTCCCTTAGGTCTACCTGGATCCTAGAGGAGAGGAGAAGGATATCCAGCATGTGAAGGATATCTCCTCTGGGTTTAGTATACCTGTATCCTAGTAGCAGGAGGAGAGGGGAAGGATATCCATCATATGAAGGATATCTCCTCTGGGTCTAGTAAATCTGTATCCTAGTACTAGGAGGAGAGGAGAAGGATATAAACGATGTGAAGGATATCTCCTCTGGGTTTAGTATACCTGTATCCTAGTAGCAGGAGGAGAGGGGAAGGATATAAACAATGTGAACGTGAAGGATATCTTCTTTAGGTCTAGTATATACCTGTATCCTAGTACTAGGAGGAGAGTAGAAGGATATAAAGCATGTAAAGGGAAGTTTATCTCCCCTAGGTCTAGGGATCTGAACCCGACCCATCTCTCCCAGCTCACCCATATAGGTCTTGTTGCAAGCTAAACAGCGCAAATATTAATTTTCATTTCGCAAAAAATTTAATTAAACATTTTGTATAAACATGATTTTGCTATTTGGACTTTTTAAAAGCCTTTGACTATTATGTTTTATCCAATTAAATTTAATTAAAGTTCATTTTGAATAAAAAATGAAAAATAAGTAATGAACCTTCTTTGGTTAAAAAAAAGTTTTTTGAATGGTCTTACGTGTACATCCTGCAGGTTCATCTGACCTATCCCCACAATCATCTACACCATCACACACCTAGATATCATCATCATCATCATCATCATCATCATCATCATTATCATCATCATTATAATAACCTACCTGTGAAGATGAGACGCATCTTGATATTGTTGAGCAAGGGAAATGATAGAGTGGGCATGGAGGGGGCGGGGCCAGGTTGGAGGATGGAGCATGAATAAGAATGCCCAGCCATACCAACCATATATATCTTGTACACATTCTACCAGACTACGGGCAGGCCTAAACAAAATAAAAATAAAAATATTTTAAAACCTATTTCTGAATATGTTGATATTAATGGACATTCAACAAGTGCAATAAACCAATCACACCAGCGAAGGGTCACTTGAAATTACACAATCAATCCCTTTAAGCCTTAATTCCGCCCATTGCAGCATTTCACCTCTTAAAACATTATGCGGCTAAGGGTTTAGCCATTAACATTAAGATCTCCGACTAAACTCCGCGGCTAGACTAAACTGGAGAGTAAAGGCAAAGTTTCACCCTCCAACATTTTCTTTCAGGTTTCATGTGACACTACAAAACTGTAACCGCTTGTATTCATTATGTTTTTTTTGATAAATTTGGCAATAGAAATTGATTCTCTGCCGCAAACTCTGATTTTCTAAACCTTTCATGTTTGCAACCAAAGACCTTAAATATTATGAACTTTGAATTCTGTTAGCTTGATTAACCTAAGTTTGAAATATTAAAGGTCTACACCATCAGGTTGCAAAGATATAGGACTAAAAAATATTTGAGTTTGTGGCAAAGACTCATTTAATTTAGGTTCTGACAGACAAAAAAATGGAAGTAAATATAAGTAACAATTTTGAAGGTAATATTCAATAGTGTTCGCTCCCAATCCTAGTTTAAGGAATACTAATTACAGACACGTTGAATGAATTAATTACATTGAAGACTCCAGACTTTGAAGATGAAGAAGACTGAGTGAGGGGGAAGAGCGGAGGGGAAGGGAGAGGGGAAAGGGGGAGGTCTTTCAGGAGTTTGTCTTTTCAGGAGTTTGTCTTTCAGGAGTTTGTCTTTCAGGAGTTTGTCTTTCAGGAGTTTGTCTTTCAGGAGTTTGTCATGGCGCCAAAGATTGCACTGATGCAAAATTTTATTCTACACAAGATTGCAATGATGCAAGATTGTGACTTTGATGAAAGATAAAGGCCTAAAAAATCCTTTATTCCTAAATCTTCTGCCAGAGTCAAAATGTTGCAAAATGACGAAAGCAAGCTTTTAGAAAATATTATTTTAAAATCTGTGAATTTTGAAATTTGAGAAGCCTCGTAAGTAAACAATCAGAAATTAATTTTAAACATTAAAGGGACTGTTTACTAATTTGGGTAATTTGTGGGTAAACTAAATATCCTATTAGCTGGTATTAGTCTTTTTTTTTATACCATTTTCAACAAATTGTAAATTAGAAATTCTAATGACTATGTCATCTGATCAGCAAATATAAAATACATCACATTTTTGTATTTAAATTAAAATCTTTATTAATTATGAAAGGAAGAAAGATAAGGATATAAAGATGAAATTAGGAACTATGGAACAAAGAAGAAACATAAGTAAATCAAGATGAAATTAGGAACTAAGGAACAAGGATGATAGATTAGGAAGGCAGATGAAATTAGGAACTATGGATAAGGAAGAAATATCAGGAAGTAAAGATGAAATTAGGAACTATGGAACAAGGGAGAAAGATGAAGAAGTTAAGATGAAATCAGGAACTTAGGAAAAAGGAAGTTAGATTAGGAAGCCAAGATGAAATTAGGAACTATGGATCAAGGAAGAAAAATTAGGAAGTCAAGATGAGGAAATAAAGATAAAATTAGGAACTATGAATACGGAAATAAAGATAAAATTAGGAACTATGGATAAGGAAGTAAAGATGAAATTAGGAACTATGGATAAGGAAGTAAAGATGAAATTAGGAACTATGGATAAGGAAGTAAAGATGAAATTAGGAACTATGGATAAGGAAGTCAAGATGAAATTAGGAACTAAGGAACAAGGATGATAGATTAGGAAGGCAGATGAAATTAGGAACTATGGATAAGGAAGTAAAGATGAAATTAGGAACTATGGATAAGGAAGTAAAGATGAAATTAGGAACTATGGATAAGGAAGAAAGATAAGGAAATAAAGATGAAATTAGGAACTATATGGATTAAGAAAAAAAAATGAGGAAATGTAGAAGAAGAATGATTAGGAAAGGTAGTGGGCAGGGCCTGGTGAGATTAAGATAAATTAATTAGATAAAAGATTAATCTTGTAATTAATTAATTAATTGATTAATTAATTGATTTATAGGTTCTGTCAATCTTGTTTCAGAGAACAAATTAACAATAGAAATTAAAGATTTAAAGATGGGGTTAGATTTGTAATGTACAAAACCTATCGTCCTATCTTTCTATTTATATTTCAATGTTTTTGTTTCTTTTAACTGTTTATTTTCAACTGTGCTTTTTTTGCGAAAGTGACTTGGGCATTCCTTGTTAATAATTGAAGTAATGAAAAAACTCACAGAAGTTAAAACAAAACAAAAACAAAACAATAGCTTCCACATTTTTTTGCGGTTTCAAATCGAAAATTGTCATCTTTACATAGAGGGTCATTTGAAATTACGCTTACAGTCCCTTTAACAACGAGTTTATATTTTACGTCATAGAATGAGCATTTCTTTTGTCGACCCCAAGTAATCTATGAGATGAACCTTGTGTTTAGTATATATATATATAAAAATAATAAATGGTTTTGTATTACAGATAGAAATAGAAGATTTATAAAGGTTTGTATTATAGACTGCTGCAGATTGATGAAGGTAAGAACAGGAAAACTTTTGTTTATTTTATTTAAAAACTTGGATTAGATATACTAAATATATTAAAGGAAAATGAAAAATAAAGAATTGTAAAAAACAGAGTCAGAAGTTGAACTTTTAAAATTTTCTTTTCAGGGGTCGAATTACATTTTTGTAGATTTTAATTTCAGAAATTAAAAGAGAACAAAAAGTTAAAATTTAAAATAATATTCCTTTACATATTACTGGATTTATTGAAATTGCTGCCCCTGCACTGTAAATAAACTCTTGTATTGTGGATAATAAAAGATCAAGATCAAGCATTGGATCTGTATCTTTTGTTTATTCACAGGTTTATTCAATTATTCACGCCATAAAGACGATTCGTAAGGCGCTTCTCAAATGCTGTGTTTAATGGAAAACTCTGTATTTATCAAAATATGATTTGATATATAATTAACAAATCCATATTATCTATAAAATAGAGATATTCGCTCATATATATTTATATTTTATATATATGTTAGCTATAGTTGTCCAAACGGATGAAGCAAATTGGCTAAACTTGTTTCAGGGAACCGTGGGTGCCTGGGGTTTTATATAATTGGATTTTTTCTTCAAAATTTTTAATTTTCTTTCCAGAAAAAAAAAAAAATGTTTTTAAAATTTGACGGGAAACGCCGGGCAGCTAGTTATTGAATAAATAAGAAATTCCATGGCGAACATTGATATATGATGCATATAAAATATCAGCATGTTTTGATAAAATTAATTAAAACATTAAAATGCAATTTCAAAATAGAAATAAATCACTAATCAATCAAACTCAGAAGTTCCATCGTAGCTAAGTTTATAGTTCATCAACATGTAGTAAACTTTATGCTTTTATATCTCAACTTTTCACACAACTTTCTTTCTCCAATAAACATTTGTTATCGAAAAGTTAGCCCGAGCAAAAATCATGGTAAAAGTTGGAAGAAAATTCTTTTTGTAGATTTGTCTTTTAGTTTTAGAGGTGGGATTATTATGGAATACTCTCAAAGAGAATAGATAAGTGTAGAGTGGAATTAAGTCGAAAAAGTTTAAAACCGCCATTTTGTTGTACTGTTTCCATACTGCAGGTGTACTTCACACATTTGTGCTATATTACCTTTTTGGCCTCTGGAACAGCTTTTTAAAGAAAACTAAATTTCTAGAAAGTTTTAATTTTCTCTAAATCAAGTCTCTGACAACCGGTCATTCCTGTCAGGCATTCCCGAGTTTATATCTGCATAAGCTTTACTTTACATTTCCGAGTTGATGACAGCATTTTTCAAGAAATAGGTTTATTTCACTTCTATTAAAATCTCTGTTCTGTGGATACTCCTTTAAGCTGTAAAATATGATCTGTATTTATGTTCGATTTCTCAAGCCTTATTCTCATCTATGTACTTTGATACAATACAGGGGGGCAACAAAAAAACGGCTAAAATGAACATGACAGTCAAACCAAAAACATGAAATAAGTTGTCTTTGAACGGACGAAAATTATTTTGAAAAATCTAAAAGACATTTTTTACACCCCTTGTATTCGTTTTATGATCTGACGACAATTTGACAAACGAGGTGGAAGATTTGTTTTGAAATTTCCCTCTTTTCTTATTCTTATACATCAGAACAATAATTCAAGTTCTTCGTAGATTAGGGGCGGAGACACTCTTTTAAAAAAGAGTAAACAATGTCAATGATTAAGAAAAAGAAAAATGATTAATATGGTCCAATAGAATTTCTGTTTTATTTTAGGAACTGTAGATGTACTTTTAAGCGACCCTCCGTATATACAGGGAGGGGCAAAAGATTCCCTAAACTCGAAAATATATTAAATATCCATGTTTTAAACTTTAAAATTGATTTTTTTAAATTTTGGTTTTTCTACAAAAGTGCTTGCAGATTTCTGCATCAGAGGCAATGGAGAATTTGTAAGTTAAAATATCTTCCATATTTAAATCGGATAACAGTTTATAGGGTACCCTTGCGCAGTACAGTACAGTACAGCACAGTACAGTACAGTACAGTACAGTACAGTACAGTATATTTAAATCGGATAATAGTTTATAGGGTACCCTTGTGCAGTACAGTACAGTACAGTACAGTACAGAACAGTATATTTAAATCGGATAATAGATTATAGGGTACCCTTGTGAAGTACAGTACAGTACAGTACAGTACAGTACAGTACAGTACAGTACAGTACAGTACAGTACAGTACAGTACAGTACAGTACAGTACAAAACAGTATATTTAAATCGAATAATAGTTTACAAGGTACCCTTGTGTGTCGGTCATGCCAATCCTTTAAAACAATTTATTTCAAACACAATTTTCTCTGAACATCCTACTTATTGCCGGCATGTAATTGTTTGTTTGGCTTCGATCAAGAAA